TTCGAACCGCTGACCTTAAGGTTCGCAGCCCGATTCGTAACCACTACGCTACCAGAGCTCCTTTTAGACTGTGGTAAGCTTGATAAAAATGAGGATTGAAAAGTTGCATCTTCAGTACCTATCACAATTCCTCCCTCTCAATACAAATGCATTCAAGAAAACAGAATAATCAAGCAAAAAGTTCAGAGCCACATAGAAAGTTTATGAAAGTCCTCAAATGTGATTTCTTGTCCGTTGTACCTGGTGAAGTAAATGTTAAACAGCAAAACTAGTTTTTAGGTTATAAGTATTGGACCTCATCCTTGGACGCGGAAACTCCAGTGAGAACTACATTTCCCGAAAATCCGGGGACTCCAGTCGTAGTTTGTTTGCAGATAGTTCTTGAAGGACATGCAATTTAACCAATAAATGTGAAGAATATGTCCCTTACCGGGGCAAGAAACGGCCAATCACAATGAAGAGGGCGTATACTTCTGATTTCGGTTCCAAATGCACACTGTAGGTTGCTTTATGGTTCAGTGCAGCTGTACGGCCTGAGCGGAACCCTTAACCGGGATTGTGTTTCCCACCCCTCAAATTAGAATTCGTCTTTACTTGCTTCCTTCCTTCCTTACGTTTTCCCCTTTCCCACATCCTTCCTAGTCAAGTAACCCTGTTTCCCATCCACCTTCACTTGTGAAACTCCCTCTCTGAAAGAATCCTCTCAGCACGAATTTCTCCCTTTTCAAACTTAAGCCAGACATTTGCCTCTAGGCATCCAAGTTGGTTGTCAGAGGAGCTGCGGAGAGGTCTGAGCAGAAACTTCATCCTACACTCCTTGCCCCCTTTCAAGAGTGGTGAAGCCCCCAAATTACTTAGTGGATAGCAGCATTACAGGGCGGATTTAGCGTTCTGAAAACGGGGCCAACGTGTGGACTGAATTGCTCGTCACTTGGTCAGGAGCCCTGTGGTGGTGCAGTGGCTAAAGCGCTCGTCTCCTAACAAAAGGTCAGAAGTGCAAACACACTAGCTGCTCCTCGAGAGAAAGATGTGGCGATCTTCTGCCCTCAGAAAGACTTACAGCCTTGGAACGCCTATGTGGGCTGATCTATAGGGTCGCTATGAGTTGGGATGCAGTGGGTTTGGTTTGGGGTTTTGTCAGTGGTCAGAACTGACACTGAGTCCTGGAGCGCTTCCCCTTTGGCGGGCATCCAACCATCTCTTCTAGCAGCTACCTGCTATGATCAGACTTTCATTCAGCCAACAGTAAAAGCTTCAGGAGAGAGTCGGGTTTCCTTTGTTTCTTTAGGTTTTTCTTCTTTCCTGTGTCTGCCATCCTCTCGACACAGACCTGGTCGTAGCCTAAAGCGTTCTTCTTCAAAAACCAAATTCAGATCCATCCAAAGCAAAGCCTATCCAGAAAGCCACAACGATCATACTGCAGCCAGCAGCCGGGAGACACGTCTGCCCCCAGTCAAAGCAAAAAGCCCCGCTTTTCGAGGACCGCATTTGAAAGAAAGGTTTCCTGCTGCTCGTTGGTCGCCCACATTTTTACTATGCCAGCTGCAGGAGCAGCAGCTGCATACTCTGGCAGCGCGACTGGGTTGGAAGCTATTTAGCCATCGTCTGGGATTTTCGCAGAAGATAATTTAAGCCCCAGCTCCGCTCCGGGGGGGAGGGGGGGCAGTGGCGGCGCGTATGCGCATGCCCAGCAGCCCGGCTCCGCGGAAGCCCAGCTGCCGCCACCGCCGCGGCGGGCGCTGTAACCGCGGCTGCCGCTGCTGCTCCCGCGGGCGTTGGTGCCGTGCGCCGAGGCGCCCTGTCAGGCTAGAGGGAGCGGCCCGGCGCAGAGCGCGGGCGGCGACGGCAGCGGCGTCTGAGGAAGGCAGCGGGCTCTGAAGGGGCGAGGGCGGGCCGGGCGGGCGGCGGAGAAGCGAGGCGGAGCGAGGAAGAGAGCGCGGGGATCCACCCCGGGCGCCCTACGTGCGATGCCGGCCGGGCAGCGGCGCTGAGCGGCGGGGAGGCCGAGCGACGGCCGCGGGGAGGCTCGAAGCCGAAGCGGGAGCCCGAGGAAGCGCCGAGGGACTGCGGG